AAAGGAGGAGGAGGAGGAAAATGTTAGTTGGTTGATTCCTCATAAGAGAAAGAGACTGGGACACTCACTATACTGACCAGACTGGAGGGTATTGGGTAGGACTAAGATTAATACCCTTCTGAGATCTGAAAGTGCAAAGTTAGAAATGGAAACATTCTCAAAGTGAGCAGGCTCATACTGGTGCAATGCAAACCTGGCTCTGAAAAGGAACATCTGACTATTCTTTCTTGTCCAAACCCAAAGCAACAGCTGAACCCAAAATGCATTGAAAACCGTTTCAAATAATCCAACTGCAAGACAAATAAACTCATGTTTTCTGAAACCTAAATCTATCTGCTGTCTAGCTACCACACTAGACCTTTCCTTTTAGCTCTTTCCGTGGCACTCTTGAGCTCATAAAGCAATCAAGACAGCAGGTCAGCTCACTACCTCTAGACAATGGCAGCCGTGGGGTTCACTCTGCTGACCTACCTGTGAGTGCCTGGGGAGCCGCCAGCCTGGGTACAGTGGCTGTGTCCTGAGGGATATGGCTGAGGTCAGGCTCCGGGGTGCTCCTCGGGGGTGAGAGGGCTAAAGGAGTCATGAGAACCCGAGACTTGAGCTGCAAGAAAGAGTCCATTTGAGCAACGAACATCTAGAAATGCTCTCTACGCCATCCCAGAATCTTCGTGGACTTGGTTAGCCATTGCTGCTCTGCCACGCTTCCCCACCTTTCTGTTGTGCAGCTTTGGAAGATGAGCTTGAGATTCAAGTTCATGTTCAATGTTTATATTCCGGTTTGCACTCAGGGGTCAGCTCTGCACCACAGCCAGCAGTGACTGTGCCAAGTACTGGGTGTAGGAACGTGCAGAGCTGTGGCTACTTGAAGTCCATGAGCCCCCTGTGGGATGGGCGGGAGGGACAGCACCGCATCTGTGCCCCTGCACTGCCTAGAATCCCATGGACGAGCTTTCCCTATGACCCCCTGAGGACTGACCCTGAAGCTCTCCTCACTCTGCTGAGCTCTCTGCTCACACACACCACTGGGTCCTGCTGGAAAAGAGAGCAGGAGCCGTTGCTCCAGTGGCTGAAATCCTGCTCAGTGTTGATTTCCTGCAGCAGACTCCAAAGGAGCCTGCATGTAGACAGAGGTGCATTTTCTTAAGTGAGACCGGAGAAGGAAATGGGGCTGTGGTGTGTGTGTGTGTGTGTGTGTGTGTGTGTGTGTGTGTGTGTGAGCAGTGGCCACCTTGAAGATCTTCTGAGGCCCCAAATGAGGGCCTGAAATTTGCTCTTATGGAAATGGGTGGGGATGGCAAGGTGATGGTACCAATACCCACAACGTCAAGAAGCCACCCTCTGAACCAAGCTTTGCAGAGACAAGCTTGTAATCTTAGCTCTCTACCCCAAAACAGAACAAATCAGTCACTTCCTGTCTTTATCACTACCTACATCTGGACCCCATTTCAGACAAACTAAGCCAGGCTTGGGAGTGGGACTCAAGAATGAGGAATTTTTAAAGATGCTCAAATTCTAATACATAGTTAAGGTTGAGGCCCACTCTCAACACTGGAGTTTTCAACTCTTACAAGCAGCCTTTCAGACACCTAGGGGTGGAACCTGAGATTGATTCTACACTCTAATGATCTCCTAGGTGATACTGAAGGTACTGGCCTCTGGCCCTTGCTTTGAGTAGCAAGTTGTACACTCTGTTAGTATATCTGCAGTCCCCATCCATATCCTAATTTCTCTCTTATACTTTTAGGATGGACTATAGTACTAGTCATGAGGAGATAGTAATTCAACTTCTAGTTATCCAGTCATTCCATATCCATTCATTTATTCATTCAACAAACTTGTATTTGGAACCTGTTCCACATCAGACACTGCTCCAGCTGCTGGGGATACACTAGGAAACAAAGCATTCAAAAGAGAGATTTTTATCTTTGTCCTCATAGAACTGGTACTCTACCGAGGGGAGACAGACAATAAACCACGTAAGTACGTGTATGACGTAGGGTGATACAAGTCAGGAAGGGCTGATGATGAAAATAAAGAGGGAAGCAGCACGGGAAGCGCCGTTGAGGAGATGTACTCAGGGTGGAAATATTTAGGGTTGAAATCTGAGTGGTTAGGGCAGTGGGGGTGACACTGCCCAGGGATTTGAAGAAGCAAGCCATGCACTGTCTAGGTGAAAAATATTCGGGCATCAAAAGCATCAAATGCTCAGTTTCTGAAGCAAGAAGATGCCTGAGTCTTTGTGCAGCCAGAAGGAGGCCTAGTGGGACTGGAGAGGGAGTAGACTAAGGTCATGCTGGGCTTTGCAGAACACTGTAGCCTTTAGCACTTTTGAGCAGGGATACGTTGGATTTAAACTAACATTTGAACAATCTTCTTGACTGTTATGTGGAGAACAGGCTAACAATAGAGGGGGAACTAATCTGGAGCAGAAAAAAGATGGATGGCATGGGGTATGTGACAGAGAGAGAGAGAGAGAAGTTGACTATGACGTTTGGGCCAGCAAGGACACCCGTGGACTAAAGCTTGTTGAAGGTAGGGAAGGTAAAGTTGAAAAAACCTGGAGATTCAGGGTGAGGTTTGAACTACGGTGCCTACTAGACATCAGGTGGAGACGTTAAGTAGGTGCTTGCGCACAGTAGCATAGGGAGATGGGAGAGTCCAAATCACGCCATCATTTGGGAATCGTAAATATATTGAGTTGATATTTGAGACCACAGCAATGAATGACATCGTCAGAGAAGTGGTGTAGATGGAGAAGTGGACCCAAATACTGACCCCTGCCAGAGTCCGACAAAAAGAGGGTGGAGAAAAAAGGAGGAACCAGCAAAAGAAACCAGGGAAGAGCATCCAGTGGGATGAGAAGAAAACAAAGAGAGTGGGTGTGGTGCTCTAGGAGTCAGTGGGAGAGGCGGTTCAAGGGTTAACCACACCCAATGTTCTTCAGACAAGGAGACCAACGGTGACAATGAGATTTAGCAATTTATGACAAGAGTTTGTGGTTTAATGGCTCACATTCAAGTAAAAATATACCTTACTTATTACTGTCATGGAACGGACATTCTGGTGGGGAGAGGGAGACATAAACAATACATTAGTACATGGTACAGGATGTTGAAGTAGTAAGAGTTGATGGTGAAATAGAGGGAAGGGGCATGGGAAGTGCAGTTGAGGAGTTGTGCTTTGGATCCTCCTGCCTCAGCCTCGCACATTCTGGGGCTGCAGCTGTGTACCGGCTAGATCTTGTAAAATGATCACAGTGAGATTACACAGAAGGGCAAAATGTCAGTCCCTGCCAACTGAAGTTACCCCCAAGGGAGCTGGGAATGTGGCGTCAGCTTTTCTTTTCCAACTCAAGACATACAATATAGGCCTGAAGAATTCCGTGCTCTGTCTGTCTCACAGAGGGGCCTGCCCTAAGGCATTTGTCAGAGAACCACTGAGAAGAGGTGTTTGCAATCTGAGCACGCAGCCAGGGGGACATGAAAGAGACACAGGTCAGCGGACTTAAAATTCAAGTGCTTGTCTAGAAATACTGGAGTTTGGGTACCATCTCAATACTTTTTTTTTTTTTTGGTACCAGGAGTCGAACTCAGAACCTTACACTTGCCAGGCAGGCTCTTGTGTGGCTGGGCTATATCCCCAGCCCTTGGAGTTTAGAAGTAACAGAAGTACTGGCTAAATAGTGGCGGACAGATTGGCAGCCAAGGAAGGGTAATCCGAGGGAGGAGGATGGAGGTGGGGAGGTGTGAAGAGATCAGCAGGGGACAAACCAACACAGCAAACTCTCAAATGAGATGGAGCAGCAGTGGGACAGACAATGAACTGGGACCCAGGACCTGGGGCCTGGGTTCCAAGTCCAACTCAGTCACTCACTAATGTCCTGGGGTTTGGTATGCAGCCCTCAGAACCTACCTTTCCTCACCTGTCCAGGGTGATAATACTACCCCGGGGGTGTGGTAAGGACAGAAGACAATGTCTAACACGATGCAAAGCGAAAATCCAAGAAATGTTCATTTGGCATTATTGCTCTTAGTATTATTAGTGCTACTATGAGAAATCCCAGAAATAGAAGTAAGTCCCCAGTGTCTTGCAGCCCCGGCAGATGGGGGACATAGGGACCCAATTACATTTTCCTACGCTTGTTCCTTGGGATCACATCTTCACAAATCTCTACAAAACCAACCTCCTGCCTCACACCTGGCAGGTTATCTTCTCTGAAAAACATGCTCCCCAAACAGGAAATGGTCCCTCGGAGCTAGTAATGCCATAGCTAGCAATACTTGAGTAATGTCTAAAAAGTGAAAAAAAAAAAAAAGGTATTCATTCGATTAGTCAGATAGTCATTCATTCAGTCAGTGCTTATGGAGTGCCTACTATGAATCAAGAGCTGTTCTAGATGCTGAGGGTTCTGCTGCGAGTGGGGAGGACAAAGTGCTCATTTTCCACGAGCTCATATTGGAGGAGGAGGAGGGGGAGGAGACAAACAGCAAACACACAACTAAAAGTCAGGCTGTGAGAAGTACTATGCTAAGAAGTAAAATATGATGGTATGATAAAAGGGAACCAGGTGTCTGGGGTAGGTTAATTATAGGGTGACACATAAGTCAGGATCTGACTGGTGAGAGGTGGATTTTACTGGCTGAGGAAAGATTTTCAGGGAAATAGTATGGCTCATGCAAACCTCTGAAAGTTTAGCTCCTGCACAGGACCAAGAATCCTGCGTGGAACTTAGAGGAACTGTGGGGAAGCAGCAGAACGGTGTAAGTTGAAGTCAACTAGGGAGTCGGGGTCAGATCATGAGGGCCCTGGCCTCCTAAAGGGGCACATTTTCAAGTTCTAACCCCTAGTGCTCGCTTCGGCAGCACATATACTAAAATCGGAACGATACAGAGAAGATTAGCATGGCCCGTGCGCAAGGATGACACGCAAATTCGGGAAGCAAATTCTAACCCCTAGTATCTGTGAACGCTGACTTTATTTGCAAATAGGATCTTGGCAGAGGTAATCAAGTTACTGGGAGGCACCCTGAATTAGAAGGAGCCTGAATCCGTGATTGGTGTTCCTACAAGAGATGGAAGTTTGACACTGAGTCAAGGGAAGAATGCATTACGACAAGAGAGGCAGAAACTGGAAGACTACAGATAGTGAAGGACCATGAATGAGTGTCCGCACACACCAGAAGGCAGGCAGAGGCGAGGAATGTTCTCCCTGCTGGAGCCTCAGAGAGAGCGCGGGCCGCTGACACCTGACTTCAGACTTCTCTCTCCACCCACAACGGTTTTAAGAAAACTTTGGCAGCCCTAGTAAACACAGTGAGGACAAAGCGTTTGGAATTTATTCTATGAGTTATGGAAACAATAGAGGACTCTATGCGGGGACACGTGATCCAGATTCTGTTTATAAATGTAGCTGCAGTAGAGAGAAGGGATGGGAGGCAGGGGAAGGCACGGTGGAAAAGAACACTAATCACAAGGTTACTGCTTGGGGGGATGAGACACTAGTGGTGTCTAGAGCAGAGAAGTAGGGAAGTAGGAAGAGCTAGCTGCGTTTGGGGGTGCACTTTGAAGGTGGAATTGAAGTGATGTTTGAAAGAAAGTCCAA